GAGGTAGGATAGAGTGAAATTATTTTAAACGTATTTTATTTATGGTTCGGTAACTAGCATGCCATCATATTTTTTAATCTCTTCATCCTCTTAATTATCATCATCCACACCATCATCATCATAATAATCATCACCATTATCGATTGATAATTAGAATAGGCCTATCATAATAATTAAATCATTATCGACTAATAATAAAATAGACAAATCATTATAATTTCAAATTCAAAGTTTATTGATAATAACTTGTTAATTAACAATAACATGTAGAAAAATATATATAAAAATGGTGTGCTAATTTTAAATATAAGATTAATTAATTTGTATTTAAGTTATAATATACATTGCAACTATTATCTTTACAATGATAATGATACAATACAACATAGGTTATACAAATGAGTGCAAAACATTTTAAAAGTTTTATTTACAATGCTCCGACTTTTACAATTTTTTGAATAGTTATTTACACTTTTTCTTTCACAATTGCATTACTCAATGTCCCTTCCTCGAAGTGGAGCACAATCTCTGTGGCGAAAATTTTGTCTGTCCATTTTTGGTTTACCACTTGGTTGCCTAAAAGAGTAATAATAATGATGATGGTAACAATAACAGTGATAATAATAATAATAATAATAATAATAATAATAATAATAATAATAATAATAAAAAACACAATAAAAAACATACAATGTCGCTAAAACAAAAACAAATACTACTAAATAATAATAATCTAAATTTAATACTTAATAGGTATGAAACATAATAAAATACAATATTGTACTTACTCTTCTAAAAGACTTCTAAAAAAGGTCTTGCGCTGTAACTTGCATCATTTCGGCAAAAGTATCTCATTAATCACAGAATTATAAATAAACGCCGTAAAATATAAAGCAGATAATGCACTTTCTCAGAGTATTCTTCGAAATAAAGCAGTTACTAACCAGGCATTATTAGCTGAGGATTCCAAGCTAATTAGTTAGATATTCGTTATACTTGCATCTGATTGGTTACTTACTATTTGTCTTGCGTGAAGTCAAGCGTTCAATGCATGTATGTAAGGCTTCGCGCACATAGTGCCTTTTCTCAGAGTATTTATAGTGAAATTTGCAGATAATGCCCAATTTTAAAATAAAATTTCATATTTCGAATGCCCGAAATAATATTTTGTGAAACACACTACACTAGTGATATAGGCTGTACCTTGTTTTTTTTTGTCTTTTTTTTACAGGTTAGCGGTTTCGAGAGAATTCTCTTTGGTGCCAGGCTTTAAGAAACCAATTTCTCTTTTGGTATTCCGCTAACCTGTCTGTTTTTTTTGTACTTCATTTTTATGCGTTTTTGTATATGAACATGCCGAATTTTAATAAATAGAAAAAAGTACTGTAGTATTATTGTGTCTTCTAATATTATGCCTGGCCCTATCCTTTGTACTACTGTGTTGTTTCATCAAATATTATATAGACATCACCTATGCCTATTATAGCATTAAAATAAATCCTGGCTAGCTAGCTAGGCTGGTAATATCAGTATGATTATAGAAATTAGATGGAAATTTGATAAAATAGGGTGATAGATTAGACATTCAGGAGTCACATAAGCTAAAAATCTCAATTTTGGAAAAAAGTGTACTTAATGCCTTTTCTCAGAGCAGGGCATTAGTAGTGTAAGTTGAAGTAAAAAAAAAATGAATGCATGAATGTAAATTCAGACCTGCCAACTCACCCGATCTTGTCGGGTGTCACCCGATATAAGATATAAAAAATCTCCAGTTCTCCCGATCAAATGTAATTTTCACCCGATTTTACTGATTTTACAGGTCCCCTGTAAAATGCTCCGATTTATGCATAAATTTGATTGATTTGATCGTTATTATTCAATGTTTTCGCCGCCTGCTCTCTTCGCGATGATAAACAAGCAGTACTTAATTAATGTTTTTTTTTTTTGTTTTTTTTTTTTGTTTTTTTGTTTGTTTTTTGCAGTACTTTTGTACCATTTAGTTTATACCACATAGGCCTAGTATGCCTTTGTCTTAACGTGTCTTTTTTAGTATCTTGCATCATCTTTTGGTTAATTCTGGAAACCTCCAGATTTTTTTTGTAAATCTCCAGATTTTTTGAAGATTTTTAAAAACATCTCCAGATTTTCATGACCCGGGGGTTGGTAGGTCTGTAAATTGCACAAAACATACAGTAAAATGGTAGACTTTTTTTTTCTTGACATTTGGCAAAATTTCACTATCCATATTTCTTATTGATATCGTTTTGTTATTCCCGCAATTATATCTTTATGATACTAAAAACAAACGTATAAAATATTTAAAATGATTTCGCCCTCCCTATAGTTAAATGTACCACATGTCTTTGATGCGTGCGTAGTGCATGGTTATTGTCCCAGAATATGATCCCTCACATGAGAGCAGTTTCCAGGGACAGTACATTTTATTTTATTTTTTTAATTTTTTTTCTTGTCTGAAAATGTCCGATAAGAGAGGCACATTATAGAATATAATTGAATGCCAGATGATTATAATTTTAAAAAATTCTACAATTATTGGCAATAATTTCATTTCATTCACTAGAATTTTCCATGATGCAATATGTATTGCTCAGGATTGGTCCAATCTGGGGGTGTGTACTAACCTATGACCTTTACGCGCTCAACAGGATCGAGACAAAACCTTACGATCATCTGTTTATCGTTTGGGAGCTCTTGCTGTACCGAAAGTATGACAATACAATGGAATGGATTAAAGATGACTTTGAACATTACTTGGTAACGTTTTGTTGATTACAGCATGTAACAGATTTTCAAAAGGATAAAATACGAGTAAGTGACTTTCTTTAGTAATTAAAAAAAAAACAGTTAAATTTACAAACAATGGCTGAACGTACTCATTTCATTGGCTGGCTGGCCGGCCCAGCGCAGGCCAGGCCTAATATATAATAGGCCTAGGCCTAATCCTTTTTCTACGCCTGGCCCTAGGCTAGGCCGTTAGTGATGTCAGCAGAGTAGAGTAGAGGGGCCTAGGCCTAGATATTAGTAGTAATAGAAGTACTATGCCTAGTATAGTAAGGATTTGAAAGGGCCAAAATTGGCCCTGCTACTAGCCTACTACTGTTAATAGTTATATCACTTATTTATGCTGCAATCGGGTGTGGAGTGTGGTGGTCGGGTGGCCTACCTAGGCCTATATAGGCCTAGGCCTAAGTATATACAGTAATGCCTCCCTAATTAGGCATGGGTCTAGGCCTAGCCTTTCAATACTGAATAGCAGAATAGGCCTCCTAAATATCTAGCCTAAGTTCTACATTTATTATGCTATACAATACCACCTGGTCGTAGGTAGTTTTCTGACAACACAACACAAGCAAGCAAGAATCAGTGCTAATGGGTATCACCACCATGCGCAGCAAAATAAAATGAAAGACGTATTAAGGAACCTCGTTTAACCATATCACCTGGAAGGGATTTCTTCCGACTTAGGACCCCTGAGACTGTTCTGGCTTTTTATTTCCATCAGTGTACAAACTTATGACAGCAGTTCTTTTTCATTTGCCTCTTCTATTATCTGATTTTTCCTAATTTTTTAAAATATTTTCATTGCTACATTGTTCCAAATGTTTACCTACATCTCTTTTTATATTTTTGAGCTATCAACCCACTGTATTGTCCATAAATTTATTGCTCCATAAATTTAGGCTGTCAAAAGGCAAGCCTTATATTGCTATTTTATTGATGGCCAGCTTCAAAGCCAAAAAAGAGTGTGGATAAAACCACCCTATTAAATTTGCTTATTGAAAGCTTCAAAGGACAAAAGGAAATGGCTTCATTGTTAAAGACATTGAAGTATGCCTATGATAACTTTAATGTGCCCTACATATCTAGGAACTTGTCATAGTTAATTATAACCCCATTGGATGTAAACTTTGTGCTGTACCATAAGTTCCTCAGTACCCGGGGAAATATATACCTTAAGCCTTGTGGATTCAGTACCAGACTAAATTATATTCAGTAATCCTTCATATCCTACCACCAGATGTTAGCCTTCTGGGAAACAAATGTAGTGAGCGTGTTCAATATTCTTATAATTTTATTGCCAAATCATACAAAATATTGAAATTACCCTACACAGTTGGATTAATTGCCCAACATTGCCCATAGTAGCTGTAAGTAGATTGCGCAGAATATTACATTACACCGTACTGCGCTGTGCATTGTCACATTAACATTTTTGTATAATTATTAATAAATAATACCAATGTTGCGAATTTATTATATTCTAATAGCTTTTAATGTTATTGACCAATAAACATAAACAATCAAAACAGAGATTACCAAGCTTTTACAAGAACAAGAATCCAAATGTTATGATGTTGCCATCAGCATTGTTGTCTAAAGATGAGAAAGGCGATGATTATGATAGCCTCTTTAAGAAACTAAATTTATAGTTTGTAAATTTTTATGAAAAAAATTACTTTTTGGACTCCACATACTGTAATAAACTTTCTAAATTTGCGACTGTTACAGAAAATATGTGATATACTGTATCATTTATGGACCTCACACGTAGCATTCTGAATATTTGCTAAGACTTCTGTTACAGAATGTAAGCTGCTAGTAGCAATCGCATTATGAATTCTAGACATTGAATTCAGAATTTGTGACAAGTTGATTCAGAATGCATCGGTAGTATTGCTTCACTTTTTTTTATATCATTCTATATCAATTCCAATGAGTATTTCATCAATTTATACAAGAGTATCTTTCTGTATATAATTTGTAATTCAAATATTGTAAACCACATTTGATTTACAGTATTTCATATAATCTGTTTTGAGTAACAGGAACACTGCCTTGACATAATTTGAAGAGCTTTGTGAAGCCAGCTCCGGAGGGAAAAAATGTTTATTGTTGTACAAGACACTAGAGGGATGTCTGAAGAAATAATTAGAAATGGCTAAAGTAATTTAAATAAGTTTTAGATATTTGAATATTAAAAAACTTATGGGGGGAGGGGAGGGGATGGTTGTAACTCCCCCTTTTCTCAGTTGCTTAATATTCAAAATTACATTGGCCCAACCCTATGTTGTATAAAAACAAATAATATAAATGTTGTATTCTTTTTTATAGTGATCTACCTTTGTGACAAGTTAATTTCATGGACATGGTTAAATATATTCCTCCTTCATTTATGCTATTCTGTGTTAAAGTTCTGTATTTTTATATGCAATATCTATCCATCATGACTGTGTACATTTTATCCCTTTTAATGTTTTAACCCTTCACTTGTTCTCAGCAAGTCATTGCCCTGTAGAATGTCCTGTCCACTTCTGATGATGGTATTAGTTACTCCTACTATTCTCACTGTCTCCTCATTACTCACTTTCTTAGTCCATCTTATCTGTTTTTTCATCTTACTGGAACCTCTTATGATTGAATACTGAACTACTGTACATTTAAAATGGATTCAAATATTCTGTTGTTAAGCACAAGTATGATAAATAAATGTTTTGAATATGGATTATCCTGCAAGACTGAAAGGAAGAGTGGCGTTATGTTTAAGATATAGTACCTGCCTTGCCTTCCAACACATCTGTGTTTTCCATCGTGTAAAATATTAGATGAGAATTAAATTTAATATACACCAATTTTTGTTTGTATCTTTATTTATTAATATTTGAATAACAGTACTGTGGCATCAAGCCGACAAAATAATAATTGTGGTAGGAATGTCAGGGAAGAAAAAGTTGGCTAAAAAATTATATTTGAGCATTATTTAATTATAAGGACTACAATTAGTGAGTTGCAATTTACAGTGTTGGTACTACAATTGTAATACAACAGACATTGCTGTGTGGATGCAAAGATAAGAGATTTATAGTCTGCATTTTGAGCTCTGTGATTATACTGGAACTGTTGTAAAGGTATGTATGGGTTGTGCTGGTCACCCTGTTTGAGCACCTCATTGTTGGATGGTATTTTACAGACTTGCTAGTACTGTAGTACTTACTTGAGCCCTAGACTACAAAACAATACAGAACAATAGAAGGAGAAGCTTCACTTCCTCCTTACTGATCCTCTTGGGTATTAAGGCAAAGTATACGTTGCTTCAGTAGATCCTCGGTAGCAAGCTAATAGAATTGTATTTGTTTTAAATGTGTTCACACTTGGTATGGAGGAAGTCTTGGGTCCTCCACCATGAAACTTTTTTGCATGACTTATCTTTAAGCAATGACAGTTGTTGCTATGGTATTCCCCCACCAACTGTGGAGGAGTTTAGGCCCAATAAAAAAAAAATGTTTAGTTTATCACCCCAGCGCACATGTCTTCTTTGGTACTGGAAAAAAAAAATTTTGAAAAAAAAATTTTGAAAATTTTTTTTTTTTAAATTTTATTTATTTATTTTTTTAAATTTATTTTATTAAATAGTTAGGAGATATTGTTTGCATTATCTAAATCATGTTTTACTTTGAATATTAATGCACCAGCAAACAACCCAAGGGTGATATTTGGCTTTAGCAAAATAAAAAAATTTAAAAAAATGCCTCCCTCCCTCATCACTTTTCCTGCCCAGATACTGTAGGGTGATAAACTAATAATATTTTTTATAGGGCCTTAGAGTGTGTTTAATCCGACTAATTGTCTACATTTTGTCATGCTTTTGCTTTCAATTTTAAAATGATTGGTGGTTTGTATTTTCTTGCGGAAAAATGCATGGACAAATTTTTGTCAATAGTTATTTCATTTGTTGTTTGGATGGGGAGCAATAATCTACGAAGCAAGTTGGGAATCAAATAAAAAGTTTTTGTTTTGTGGACTTTAGCATTAGCATAACTTTAGCATTAGAAAGTTAGGCATGGAACCCCAAAAAATATTATGTTTTTACCATTTTTGAAAATGGTTTCTGCCAAAAGCATCTAGTTGGAGATGGAAAAAAAAAAAAATTAAGGAACAAATAGATGCAAGAGTGCGAGAAAAATATTGTAATTTTTACTACCCTTAGGCCAATTTTGATAGTTATCTAACATTGTTTTACATTTTTTTATACTTTGTGAAGGACATTTACAATTTTCTTTTTGAAATTGGAAAATCGTAAAGTGCTGAATAACACCATAATATTCAGAGAGTGAACTTAAAAATATAATTCCCAAAGGCAACTCATAACGTACCTTTTATGAATACAGATTTGAGTATTACATTGTAAATGTACACTACTGTACTCATCTAAAAATATACACAATTTATATGTATTTACATAATCACTCTGCTTGATCTTAAAGTATACAATGACAATTCAAGAAAAATTATAATTTATTGTATTGTGGAATGTATTTTCCTATAAAACAGAGGGAAGAATTACGTTTCCAGAAATAACTTTATTTTACAGTTTTTACATTGCTTAATGCTCAGTTTTAATATTAAAATGCTTTTTACAATTGGTTGGTGTCAGGTCATTAAAACAGGTTTTCTAGCCACAGGCGGTTTACAGGCTGCACAATAGAGTTGTTGCAGGCTGCAAAAAAATTGCAGTTGGGCTGTATGTGGGATATTTTGCCTACCTGTGAGTGATGTAATGGGTACCTTGTAGGATAATTGGGTAGAGCTGCATGACAAGGGAGTGAAAGAGGTTGCGCATTGTGTATGATTGATTTTGTATCCAATGACATTTATATAACAAAAGAGCAGACTTCTATTCTGTGTATAAAAGTACTGTGTAAACAGTTTAACAGGTACCACTCTCTGTAATACATTATTGTAGGTCTATTAACATACCATATAACATGACTCTTTGGTTGCCAAATATTGACTAAGTTTTATATGTTTATATGCTATAAATAGTATTCCAAATATTATTCCTTGTAGATTGATTACTTGCTAGGGACTGCAGATCTTCAATACTTTATTGGTTTAACTGTTGGTTTTTAATTTTATTTTATTTCAATGTTTTTTTTTCTTTTTGCAGCACGGTGACTGATTTGTTTTTGAAATTGTAAAGTACAGTATACTATTTTGGCAATTTACAAATTTGTAATCATGTGAATGCTAGCCTATCATTTCAGGAGAATGTCTGAACAGCCCAGTAGCATTCAGTTATTGAAATATACCCGGGCTTATACCCAGATGAAGGCTAACATAAAAAATCAATCCTAATCTAGGAGGCGGGCTTATACTTGAGCAAGGACTTTATTATACTCTGGAGTTATAGTACTACCATAAATTTATGTTAAATGCATTAAAAATTATGATTACAGAAATGAAACTACATATCAAATGGCTTTATAAGTTCAAAATGACATTGTTTTTTGATATAAGCCTACTCCTTCATGTTTTGCAGATTTTGTGTCTGGCTCATACAAAGAACATTTGCTTGATATTGTAAATGGCAGAATTATCAGAATCGGTGCCGAGTAATACCTGTACTGCCTTCCATGATGTGGAATTGATTGAGGAAGTTCGACACTTTTTCAGTCGTTTGAGTACTTCTGATGAACATGAAAGAGAGCAAGCTTTAGATGAGGTGTGTGCTAGTTTGTTGGACCTGGCCATTAGTGGGTCAGCTGTAGGAGAATTTAACGGACATATTGGCTCCGGCCCCAAGTATGTCGATGAACGTACCCAAAGCTATTTACTTACAGCGATGCGATATCGTCAAACGTGTCCCTACAAAGATGTCAGGAATAAGATGTCTTCTCTACTTAAGTTGCTTCAAAAGGTAGGCCATTGAAATCACTTTATTATTCTACACATGAATTCAATGAATTTTATAGTTTAAGGTATTAAATGGAACTACTCACTACATTTATTTACTAAAATCTATCAAGAATATCGCCTGAATTTATGTTGAAATGTGTTCTATCTGTTATGAGCAAACTTGAAAAATAAATTACACAAATTGCTCTCATATCACTTTCAAATGATAGTTTCTAAAGTGCATGACACACATCACAAACTACCTATTGATTTTGTGCTGCCATATTTATCAAGGCAAATGAACCTTCTCATGTCATTCTTGAAGAGTTGGAATATTTTCATTGAAAATTTCTTTATTTCATATTTATGTTGATTTTTTAAATGTTTTTTTCTTTCCTCTTATATAATGATTTGACTTTACTGTATCAATTTGATATGTTGCAAAGTTGGAATTAAATGATTACATACCAGTCATTGTAAGGTAACAAATAAAGAGAAAAAACATCTTATTATTTAGAATAAATATGTATTTTATTTTGACACAGAGGTATAGTTGCCAGGTAAACTATCTTACTTTATATGTGTAGGAATATATTCTGTCAGAATAAAAAAAAACTGCTAATGTTTGAGTAGACGGCGAAGTCGTTGTACACTTAAAGATTTGTGCTGCTGTAACATGTAATTAAAATTACACTGAGAGGTCACACATAAGAAAGATTGATTTTTACAAGAGTATTAAGGCCAATGATGAATAGACCTGTTAATGGTAATAATCTTTTTCAAACCAATAGCCTTTGAAAGTCTGAACTCAAATTTTAATTTAAAAATGCACAGTAATTTAGTCTTTAGCCATTTCTTTCTCCTACTGTACCCACTAAAAATCCTGTTTGTTGTCCGGGTTTAGTATTAACAGTAAAAGGATGTGGTTTTGGTTTCTCTTTAAAAATGTGGTCACCACCAACACAAACCCATACAGTATATAGTAGGCCAGGCATACTGTAAACATGCTTAACTTTGACTAGCATGTTTGGATTTCTACAAAAGTTCCAGATGTTTTAACTAAAGTAAATAGATAGATTAGATACAGATTTTAAAATTTCTATCATTGGTTAAAAACCAGGTTTGTCTTGTGCTTTACAACAAATACAAAAAAATTATGTACTGTAGTACATAAATATTTATCAAAAGAAGGTGGCCCTTCCCAAAAAAGAGATTATGTGAGGAGGCAAAAACATGTTTTTTTTAAATTTTGGCCATGGAATTGAATATGGTTTTAGAATTATTGGTACATTAAAAAAAAAAATACCTTACAATCATTGACACCAAACTTCTGGAATACAATGGATTCAGTGTAAATTAAAGGAAATGTTGCTCATGGTTTTAATACAATGACCCAGTGATAATGTGTGAAGTACATGGCAACAAAAAAACATTCAAAATAATATTTTATTATTCATTCAAGCATTTTGTGTATTGGTCTCAGGAATTAATGTGCTTTCACATGTTAGAGCTATAGTAGCCTATAATTTAAGTTTGAGTCGCATTTGTAGTCGATCGATAACAGACTAAGTGCTTATTCTGGTGACAAATGTACAGGAACCATTTCTTCTTGAAAACCATCATTCAAACTTGAAAAAAATTGGTTTTCCTGCCAGCATTTTTTGGAACATTACAGTACCTACAGTAGTTATGCTGGTAATGTTTGAAAATTGAACTTTGGAATATTTCCAAGCAATTAAGAGTAGAACACTAAAATTGGAACCAGTATTATTCAACAATATAGTATATGATGTGCCTTATTGCAGAAAAAATTCAAAGAAGCCATGGTTTTCCTATTACGCATCGCTCGCTATGTTTGTTTACAATCTGGCATCCAAGAAAGGCCATGTTTCTCAGGGAATCTATTGGGAATTACCTGTATTAAAGGATTGAGCACTTGTGATTAAGCTGCTGTTGAGGGAATAAAAATCTTCACTGACATTTTGTCTTCAGGGGCGGTGCCAGGAATTCCCTGCTGAGGGGTCCAAGCTCCCCGGTCAGGGAAGCCTAGCCCCACATCCCTCCCCCTCACCGGTCGGGGGGAAAATTAATTTGTCGGGGAATTTTTTTAAAATTAGAATGTAATGGGATTCTGTATTTAAAAAGGATATCGGGGGTACTAGTCCACCTGTCGGGGTACTAACCCCCTGTCGGAGAAGCCCTGACGCACCACTGCAACCCGTAGTAATCGCACATACAGTACAGTAGCACTGCTTGCACTAAACAGTTTGTAATCCCTAAAATTTTGACAGCATATTAAGACGTGCTTGAATTGTACTGTATATGCGCTTGAGATTTGATTTTTCTCTGACGGCCTTGCTGGAAATTCCCCGACAGGGGACCCAAGTGGGGGCCCAGAGTTTCCCGGCGGGGGTCCTTTTCCCCTGGCCTCCCGCTAGCGCCGCCCCTGTTTGTTTTTGAGAAGCTCAGGGGCTGAAATGGACCAGAACATTGGGATAACCCTAACTCTGTACATAATAGGTGCACACAAGCCAGATGTTTTAACGCCTATCAAAGAGGACTTACTGTAGTTCCACCAACCAAACCCTGGGTGGGGAGGGTCTCAGTGTTGATGTCAAGATTGTAGTTAGCCATACGGTACCCCTGCAGTAATTTACCATTGATTAGCCACTCAACTCATTTCAATAGATATTTCTACTAAACACCGCCCCTTGAATATTGTTGCTAAAGTCCCAAAAATTGACAGTGTTAAATCATACATTATTCAAACACTTGCGCTTGTACAGTATACAACACATGTTTGGATAGAATACATGCACTGTATGCCTTGTACTGGTCTGATTGGTCAGTTGTTAAGGTCCATTTTTTAAGTACTCGAATACCTAAAATATGCTATATTATTTGGTATAACATATTCCATGATGATGCATGAATTTAATATTTCAAAATTCAATAATTAATTTACCATAAATTACAATACTGTATGGCCCTCATCTCTGGTACAATATGGTAGGATTTATATTTATATAAAGAAACAAAATATGTTTGTTGAGACTGACAGTAACAATTAATGAGGATGTACTATACTAAATGTTTCAGATGCATAATGAATTTCAATCTAAAAAATTGTAACTGTCTAGCAATTTTAAAAGGAAAGCTTGTAGTTGTTTTTAGAATGTGGAGAATTGTTATTATCAGTGGCGCACTCATGCTGCCCCAAAAAAGCTTGAACCACCGGTTGCCCCCCTCCCCCACTGCAAATGTCTGAAGCAAAAACATCAAGCTCAAGTAGTAGCATCTCAAATCACCTTATTTTGCGACCCATTGTACCGCCCCCCCCCCACTTACTGTAATCATAAATAGGCTACACTATATAGCTGAACAGTTGTAAAGCCCCCACTCCACCTTCGTGCCCCCACCCCAATCAGCGCCCATTTCAAGACTCTTAGATACAGTATGCCACTGGTTATTATCAAAGATCACATTTAAATTATTTTAATAGAATTGATAGAACCCAGGCATCATCATTGCATGACATCTTGGGTTTCATGAACTAAAATAATTTTGGGTATTTATATTTTAACTTGATATGGCAAATACGCATAAAGAATGTGGTGAATAAAATGCCAACAAGTTTATGCATGATTAGTGCTTGGCATCTAATTATGATTTCGTAAGTGCTTGAATAGTTTTGTTTATGTTATGTAGGTTTCTTCAATCAACATCAATCCTGTTTGGTTTAAAGTACTGTAAATAAATTAATTTATCGAAAGTATAATACTGTATGTTTGCCTTTAGCAGTTCTGTTTATTGTTTATTTTATTATGATTTTAAGGAGTGGAAAAACATAAAAGAGAAATAACAAGGAGTAATTGAGGCTTTAAATTAATGACTATTGTTAATTAAAAAAATGTTTGTGTATTATCTTCTGTAAGTCAGGAGGAATGATTTTTTTCCTTTTCAACAAAATTGTTATGAGATATTTAATATGTAATCGATTTGGTACAGCATTTTGAGCATTCAACGGTATTTGAATTTGGTGGTCTGATGTTATATGCTGTAATAGCCTACAAACAGTTTCATTTCTCTGTTATTGCCAGGTTAGCCTATATACAAATCTATGATAATTATACAAGATACCAAACTATTTATTCCCAAATTTAATTGACCTACTTTCTAATTTGAACATGTGGTGCAACTGGTAAGCACAAGGCTTCCAACTGATGGGTCATAAGTTTGAGTCCGATGTAGGTCACAAAGCTTTAAAAAGTGCCTTAGTCAAGACTTTGTCACTCTCCACCCAGATTACAAATGACCAGATTTATTTGGAATTTTAATTGGGTTAGCTGTTACATGACTGTACCACTGGGAATATGACCCAAGAGGGAACTACAGGTTACTTGTGTATTCATGGGGATTTCAATGACCAGGGATAATAAATCCATACCTTCGAATAGGTTCCTTATAGGTTCTACTGTGGGCTAATGAGGCCTATAACCAGTATTCCTTCACAGGATAGTTTCCTTTGAGAATCAGAGGTCAAAGGGTAAGTTAGGTGCCCTGTTGGGATCTGGTATAAGAGTTCTTGGGAGTCAGGTTCCCTGGAGCTGAAAATTTTAGTACTGTATGTAAATTGTTAATATTTAATAATAATAATATAAATACTGTAGGTTTCAAATATTACACCCTATGATAATCTTTCAGACTGCTATTTTTACACACAAAAAAATAATTAAAAAGAAAAAATTAAATATTAAAAAGATGCATTATTAGGGGGTCTTTAAACGTACTGTAGTCAATGATGTTGCCTCCCTCATTTAAATATCGTTATTTTGAGGTTTTATGCAGGCAAGTGGAAAGTTTTTAGTTGGTTTATCAGAGAAAAGAAAGTTTGCCTACTGTAACTATAGCAACCACCACTAGTAAATAGGGAGCTTTTGATTTGTTCGACGACACGATGCTGGAATTCAATCACTCATGCGTGACCGTCCTACCTGGCGTCCTACGTTCTCTGCATACGTA